AAAAAAAAAAAAAAAAAAAAAAAAAAGAGAAGGTCTGAGAATAGTCAGAAGGCCATCCACTTGTTTCTCTTAATTTCACATCGGATAACTGCAGACCAGACCTATTAAACAGTTCAGAAAATGATCTCACTGAGTAAGTGGCTGAACTCTTAAATTCAGTAAGCTTCAGCAACCATTCTGAAAAGAAACAGAGTGAATACAGCAGTCTTAACTGAACTTAGGTCTCTCGAAGGACTGGCATCTTACTGAAAAAAGAAAAAAATTGGACTTCTACCGTGGAAAGCTTACCCAGGCGCTTTCTGGGGCTGAGCGGCAGAATTTCTGCAGGACAGGGTGTGGCCTGGACATTTGTCGGCACCAGTTTAGCATTCTTAGAGTTCTGAGTTTTGTCCAATGTCTGAGAGAACTTCTTTTTTGGAAAACTGATGGTAGTCTGTGCCTGGGATCGGGTTCGAGGCATGATGCTGGCGAGGATGCTGGATACACAAAACTAGGCAACCTGGAAGTGAAGGGCACAGAACCAACAGGGGACTTACGTGACTGACAAGTCGCTCAAAAGTAAATTATGGGGAAAAGAAAAACAAAAAAGTAAATTATGGGGCCGGGGATTTGGCTCAGTGGTTCCACTGCCTGCCTCACAAGCGCAAGGACCAGAGTTCGATCCCCGGTACCAAAACACAAAAAAGTAAATTACGTTACGTTATTCTGGCATTCAGTTCTCTTACACCCAAATCTAAGCAATAAGAGCCAGCGCAGACAGCCTCACATATTCACGCTCTGAAGTTTTGTGTGGCCGCAGGCAGGCACTGCTGTGCTTTTATTCCCGCCTGGAGACGCTCGGAGAAGTAGGGTACAGCTCTAGGCTTTCTGCGCAGGGACCCAAGTCCCTAACCACTCGAGCACGAGGTAAGTTCATCTAAGCAGTAACGTGTGTGTGTGACAATACTGAGAACTGCGTCCTGGGCTCTACCCTGAGCTACATAGCAGCCCCTTTTAAATTTCTTATTTGGAGACGGGTTGTCCTAAGTCTCCCAGGCTGGGCTGGAACTTGTAATACTCCTGCCTCAGCCTCCCGAGTCCTGGGAAGGCGGGCTGTCCATTCGCTTCCCAGCCCCTCATCCCAGCCCGCGGACCTGGGTAGCCCACGACCGCCACCTCTGCAGTCCCTCCTTGCCCGGCCGGACCTCGGCTTCCTTTCACTCCCGGCACCATACCCGTCTGCTCGTGGGTTTTCCGCTCCTCTCCGCTGCTCGGGCGGCGTCGGCTCGGGGCAGGCTCCCCGCGTGTGGTGCGCG